CTAGAAATTCCATTCAAAACAATTTTATAAATTTCATTTATATTTTTTCCAGTACACATTTCAATGCAAAAAATTGAAAAAAGTTTGGTATGAGGCCGTTTTTGTGTAATTACACTCTACATGAAACTCAATTACGGCACCGCCCCTCAACCCTTCCAGAAATCAATTCACTCAAAATTGTTTAACACGTCCCGTAACCTGTAATTTTCACACCATTTTCCTCCACCTAACTCGTATTTTTCAAAAGCTTTTGATGTCATTTATTCATTTGTAATTTCGTTCGAATTCAATACTATGCTATAGCATAAAAAGGGCGGCAACCGAGCGTGTGCTTGCGGCAGTTATATATAAATATGTTATTCCTTTCCGATTTATCGGGGTACGAGATCGCAGTGGGATAGCCATTGCCATGCCACCATGATACCCACTTGCCCTTAACCAAATGGGAACGAGCCGTTCTGGATGCAGGCCGTCCATCAACAGTCCATAGCAACAACAATCAGGAGCAAACGTGCCAACGCAAAGTTTGCACAATTTTTTAACAATTAAAATAATTTTGTTCATGTATTCACCGGATAGCCTTCCACTACTTCGTTCAAGGGGTGTTAGTTTTAATGTAATGAAGTCTTTTTTGAAAATGACAAAGCAATGGGAGTATTTCAGAAAGTACATATGTAATTTTTAATACTTTAAACTGTATTTTAAATATAAAAATTTGTGTACTGTGTATTAATAAATAAATAACTTTGCCAAGATGGGAGATTCAGCCTTAGCCAAAGCCATAAACCACGATAATGTTATATTCTATGCATTATACATTTTTTTGTCAGTGTAGTGCAAAAAGCATCGCTCAGTGGGTATTTGGCCGCAGGCTATATGACATTAAATAACAGCCTGACAACAATAACAACAGCCAGGGCAAAATTATTCTCTGAAGCAAGAGCAGCGGGAGCTGGAGGTGCGATTTGAAAAGCATTTTACAAGCATTTACACACCGTATCCTGGTATCCTGCACACATCCTGTTTCTGGCGCTGCTGCACCGCCTCGCCTCGCCTCGCATTGTCATTGTTGACTTCCTGTTACGCAATGCAAGGCTCGCAATGCTTGATTGTTACAGCCTACATAATTTGTAGGTAGACACCATTGGACGGGCCAGGGACAATGGCCGGGAATCGAATAACCCAGTCGCGCACTACGGATTTTATTGTTATTCAATTGGATTCGAATTTAGTGGAAAGCGGGTCGTCCCGCGAAGGAGCGCTGCGAGTGTTTTGCGAGCTGTGTGTGACAGTTGACGCCTCGCAAAACAGGACGCTTCCGGTGGCCTGTGTGGATAGGCGCTGAAATTTGATCGGCAAAGTGCACATAATTAGCCAGCGACTGGTCTGGGCTTGCACTTTTCAACTCGATTTAGCCGGATGAAATTCGAGGTCCCTGCCATGCCATGGGAGACATTGTTTGTGTTATTGCATTAATTTACAACAATATGGCGCGTAATGAGTAGGAATTTGATTATGGCATTGTGAACGCGAATCGGCATTGCAATTGGAAACTAATGTCATTCCCGCTGTAAGTGCCTCTGTGTCGTAATTACCAGTTAAACGGCTTAGTCTCGTCTTGCAACTGCAATTTTCAAAGTGATGGGAAAATTTTACAGAAAAACGGTGGACCTATAAATATAACTTTTATGCTACTTTAATCCACCATTTTTTCATGCATAAAAAAACCGTGATAAGCTTTTTAAAAAATTGTTATTTTATTTAAAAACTAATTGGTTTCAATTGCACTTTTTAAATTCTCTCGCATAGCAATGTTTTGGAAAGTTACTGATTATTTTTTTAAAGTTGGCTTAACAATTTTACATATTAAAATCCATTTAATACTTGATGTTTGAAATTGTTCAATGTATCAAGTTAAATGAAAATAAATCAAACCGAAGTGTGCACAACTATGCATATAAAACAGACATTATTCTTTTTTTGTTGCAGCCATTTAGAGTCATAAAACTTGCGATGCCACACAAATGTCAGTTGATTAAAGCACCTATGTACATACATCGCAAATAAAAAAGGCAGTTCAATAATAAAGGAAACGCTGATGAGCCTATTATGGTGACAGTAATTGCAGGGAGTCACCCCCTCACTAGACCCTGCCCCGCCGCCACTAAAACGGACTTGTCATAAAAACAACCACACACACTCACCAGCAACCCGAATCGCAACTGCTAAAAAATAAAGTCCATAAAAAAAGAAACATCGCGTTGAGCAAAAATTGCCCACATTTGCGGGCTGACCAGCGGCCGTAACGACGTGAGCAAGGATAATGCGAAGAGACTGCCGCAACCACAACAACAGGACCAGAATGGGAAATAAAAATAAATGTGCCAAATGGATAATAAAGTACAAAGAGCGACAGGAATAATGTCCGAAATGACACTCGAAAGGAAATAAAAAGAGCGAATCACAAAAAACGGCAAAGCCTGTGTGTTCGAGTCCTTTTTTAAGCGTAATTTAACTGTTGTGGCCATTGTACTTAATTGAACTGTCAACAAAAATAGATAAATATAATGGCTAGTGGGGTGGAAAACATGTCCTCGAAATTCTAGCGGAAGGACACTTACACTCCAGGGCAATCCCATTTCGGCTAGTCCTTAGAGCTGTCAAAATTCTGCTCTACTTTCCAAAGTTCCTCCACCACGGTAAAGAAATAGCAAAGCCAACTTTTCGCTAAGCTGCGCCACTTCATGCCCAAAAAGGCTGCAATTAAAATAAGTACCCGGCCGCTTGGCTTTCCAAACTGCTGCTCCGAGCCACCTCCCACCGCCCGGTCGCCATAATTGGGAGCCAAAAATGCTACCAAAACACCCGCAAACTTATGTATTGCGACTGGGTATATATGTAGACTAAATATATAAGTACATTGTGTTTGCAAGCTAATTAAGAAATTACTGCAGGCAAAACAGCGTCTGGCAAAATCCCCACACCCTGCCGCTAAAAACCTCACCAGGTTCTCGAAATTGGGAGGCTGCTTTTTGCAAAAAAGCACTTCACATATGAGAACGGAAAATAAAATTAACAAAAAGACCAAAAAATCCAGCACCGATGAAATGAATTCAAAGGGAAGGATTTTTCCAAGGTCGAATGGCCAATAATCTGACTAAAAATATCTTAAAAATTAAAATTATTTAACTTGTTTTAAATATGTCCTAAAATAGGCACTACGCTAAAAATTGTATTTGTAAATTTCAAATTAAACGTATAATATAATAGTTAGTGAGAAAGTCGTTGTACCTTTCGAGATAACAATTCACTTACCCACCAAAAAGCGATTTCATAATCCAGTCGCCCTCCCATATAGACCCACCAAAATCCGCCCAAACAATTCACTTTACATATGAGCAAATGTGGCCCAAAAGGACCAACAAAAAACGAGAGCAAAGCTGCATTCATGAAAATCAGCCAAAAGCAGCCAACCAAAGTGCTCGTTGTCTGCTAAAATCTGCCGAGGACAAAGTCTGGGGCAGGCAATTTTTATAATTTTGCTACAATTTTGAGGCATTTTATGAAATGAATTGAAATTTTTTTCGTTCATCTCTTTTTTTGGCCACATTTCCTTCAACGAAGAAAAGACATCAAATCCATTCATGCGCTTAAATAAAATGCTCAAGCACTTGACTGCATCCATACAAAAATTTTTTGTGAGCAGGAGCTGGGAGCTGGAGGCGAGCCGAATAAAAGGTTGCCTAATTTGTTCAGTTGGCTTGCACACACAAAAAATGCTGAAAACAGAAACAGCTAGGCTGAACCCCTTTTTTATGCTTTCGGCCGAAAGGACTGTGTCCCATTGTGAAAGAAATTCATTTTGGGGACGAAAATGGCAGGGATTTGGACGTTGTTGGGCAGCCTAATGCTCGAGAGAAGATTGGCTTAGTTTAATCCGATCTCGGATGGCCAGCCATTGATTACAAAAATGTACGAGCGAATCAATCTTTAAAATGCAAAGTCTAGCCTTTGGCCAGCGGTTTACCAACAGGATAAAATTCAAGCCAATAAACAAACGATTTGACGCAAAGTAAGCGCATCAAAAAGGCATTAACACATATATGTATGTATGTACATTTATTCGCACAATAAAAACAAATCGATTTCAACACCCGCCATTTATGCGCAGTCGTGTGAAATGCAACACTCCACACAATCGCCTATAATTATGCATATATATATGACTACGGATATATATGGCTCCTCTGAATCGCAGTTATTCCAGGATGCCTGTGTTTGGTAATTCAAACTTGCCGCAGTCGTCCTGCCGCTTGTTAGGCATAGCGAAAAAAGCATTTTATGCATTTTTATTGCCATTTATTTGCGGCGAACAATTCGCAATTTATTTTTGCAATTTAACACGCGATGCGAAAAGCGAATCGTGAATTGTGAAATCGCGAAAAGGCCCAAAGGACCCATGGGGCCAGGAAATGGGGTTCGTTGCAACTAAATTGCAACAAACTGCACAATAAATGGCAACTTAAAACGCCTGCCCCGACAACCACGATGGAAATAAAAACAAAAAGCCCAACATGCATTGCAGCAATTGTTGCTGGAGCATTGTTATCCTGTATGTAGGATATATATAGTGTGTCCATACATATACGCATTCAGCCACGTTTATTTGCGCTGGCAATTAAACGTAAATAAGAGTTTGCCGTCGCTTCCACGGAAATGCAAAATAGAAAGGATGAATCTATGGAAAAACATTTCTATCAAACGCCAGAAAATTGATATCAAACGTAAAGGATGTAATCTAGATATCCTGGGGCCCGACCTGTTATTCATTGTAGATATGCGTCGTAAAGGTTTCAGCATCCTATTTGGCTGATGGCTGGATAATTTTAACAAATTAATGAATACACCATTATCCGTTTTGTATATGTTTATATAATTTATTAATATCTTTATATGTATAATTTTTTATTTGTATATTTATAAGCATTTCAATTCTGTGATGTGTCAGTGTGTTTGAAGAGTTCTGTTTTTTGGTTCAGCAGAAGCTTGGATTACGTTAACATTCAATTAAAAATATAAATAATTTAACTAATTATTTGGTAATTGCTTGACACACGCCACATCTTACAAATAGCTCTGGAGTCTAGACTAACATTCATTTTCCTGATAGGACTTCATGGGCCCAAAGGAATCTCGGCTTAGCATATCGAACCTAACTTACACTTGACCAGCAATTTAAAGAATCAAAAGCCAAACACAAAAACCTTCAGAAAATTCAAGCCCCACACTATCCACTTGGTGTGGTTTATGTATATACATAATTTTAAAGCCTATACTTATTGAGCAAGAGACATTTACATTTTACAGGGATATTGAGTGGCCAGTATGTACAGGGGACTTAGGAACAAACTTTAAAAAAACTTGAAACCCATTGACGCGGCCCTGCACTGAGCGAAACAAGTTGCAAAGTTCCAAACTTTCATATAACTTTTATCCAAGGATGTGTTACGATTTTATTAATGTTTTCTTTTTTGAAATATTAGGCCTTCGTAGCACTCCCAGTATTTGGATTTTCATAATCATTTTTAGCTCAGTAGACCTTTTGGTTTATGGATTTATCGAGGACACCAGTGGCTGGAGGAGCAGTGATCTCCATCGGCTCCCGTCCAGAGCTCTCGTTGCGTTCCAGGCAGAGGCTCTTCCCAAATGGTGGTGAAGACGATCGGTTTAAGGGTGAACCCGATTCCTGCTCCTCATCCGCCTCCACATCGATGGCGGCATCCTCCTCATCCAAGCCCATTCGCTCCTGCTCCGAATCGGAGTCCATCTCTGCCATGTCCAACACCCGTGAATGCGTGGGCGGCAAGGTCTGGGGCGGGGCCGGAGGTAGAGGTGTGGGTGGCTTCAGCAGCGACATGGGCGCCGCCAGGCACCCCACGCCCTATACCAACGACGAGAGCGGCGGTCGCGGGGGGCTGGTGTTGCGTGCGGCAGCTGCCGCATAATACTGCATCGGGTGGTGGTGCGGCGGTGGCGGTGGCACGAATCCGGCTGTGGTTCCGTCGTGATACAGAACGGGCACCCTCACCAATCTCTGCGCTGCATGTGCCATATTGGCCATGTTGGCAGCCTCCAATTCGGCGGCCAATTGGCGTTTCCACTTATTCCGCCTATTCTGGAACCAAATCTTCACCTGCGTTTCGGTCAAACGCAACGAGGCGGCCAGACCCGCTCGCTCCGAAGAGCTGAGATAGCGCTTCAGGTCGAAGGTCGACTCCAGCTGGAAGACTTGAGCCCGCGAGAAGACGGTGCGGGTTTTCTTCTTCCGCTTGGAGCCACTGCCGTCGCCGTGGGGCGAGGAGCTGTCCGAGGGACCATCGGTGCCGTCATCCTCCTCGATGATCTCCTCTCCCTCCTCGTCCGACTCGTTCGAGCTGCCGGGCAGCAAGTATCCGCCGTGAGAGCCCGCCAAGTGAGGATGGGACGGGAGGCTGCTGGTGCTGGTGGGCGTGGTGGGTTGGTGTGGATGCTGCTGTTGTTGCTGCTGCTGCTGCTGTGGATGCTGTTGCTGTGGATGCTGCTGACTCTGCTGCTGCTGGACAAGAGGATGGTAGAGGGGGTGGTGTGGGTGGTGCGATGGCGACTTGCTGGCCTGACTCGAGCTGTTGTTGCCGCTGCTTCCATTCACGCTGGCAGTGCTGCTGTTGTTGTTATTGTTGCTGTTGTTGGGACTCATGGAAGTAGGCGATGGTGGATTCTCTGTGGTGTTCGTGGAGGAGCTGTCTGCAAATCGGAGAGAAAACCGAGAGAGAAAGCATTAGAGAGAGAGCTTAAATTGTATTAGTCGCTGGGTGGTTTGTGGGTGGGAGCAGTCAGTCGGTCTGTCTTGGGGGTGGTTGTCTAAGGGTTGCTGCTCCAAGATGTACCCTCGTCGCTGTGTCTGTGTGTCTCTGGACTCCTGCAGAGATTTAAGCTGCAACACTTAACCTCACACTTGTCGCCCCATCTTTTTGTCTACCATTTGTGTCATTTGTGATTGCTGCCACCGATTTCCATCGCGCAGACGCCGAGAGCGTCTATATAGTATAGTAAGATATATACGAACGTATATCCCTTTGAGCGTATGTGTCTGTGCCTGTCTGCGCGTTAAATTACCATTTAAAATGGCTGTCAGTCAGTTGGCCGATTTTCTTTTTATCGAAGCTTTTAGTTTTGATCTCATTTGAAAAGTTTAAATTGCCGTAATTTGCCTTGAATGGATTTTGACCAGCTAAAAAAAAAATGTTTAGCTTTTAGTAAAGCCCTGCCTGGGTAGTCTTGTGGGCAGCAAAATAGGTAAGGTCTTTGGTTCTGACCAAAGAGTTTCGCATTGGAGTTACCATGGCCGTAGAGGTGAAAAACTTAGGTGCCATTTACATGAGCAAATTCAATTGCAATGACTATTAATGCCAAAGGGGCCAATTAAACGGGCTTAAACAGCACTACTAGTGCTGTAATTGCATTTGCAGTTGCACTCAACTCTACTCTACGGACAGCCCTTTGCGCGAAACTCGATACTCGATTACAAATTGCAATTAATTGCACTGGCGATTAATGCAGTCGTCTCACTTGGCTTCCACGGCTATTTATTTATTTGTGAGAATGTGTGAGCTCTAGTTACCTAAGACGTTTGCTAAGTCTGCTTCTGGGGGCGAAATTCTTTGAGGTATTAGCCGCCGACGTTGACTAAACACTTAAACTTTGAAACGACTGCAAATTCATAGACAGTCACTGTCAGAAAATCGGGGGATATATTTTAATATAGGTATTTTCCACACATATAGGTTGACTCCTCTTAAGGAAGCTTTATGAATAAACTATAAAAATAAGAGTTTGGATGTTAATATCTTTTTGAAAAAAACCTTCAAATAGCTTGAAAATTGTGTCGTCTTTTCGCTCTGTACACCTTCAAGAATGCCTGACACATCACATTCCTGCCGTAAGTCAAATACGGATAAAACGAATGCTAAGCCCCTTTGGCATGTGCTCCGGTACAGTTCATTTCAGTTCAGTCCAGTTCGATTGGATTCTGATGGGTTAATTTGAGTGACGGAAAAGTACGTAACTCCGTTGGCTGTTTTTCTTTTTCTTTTTTAAATCAACTTACCGTGGGTGGGACTGTGAAAGGGCAACCGCTGGGGGGCCCAGGGCCATCCGGGCGGACACAGGGCTGCGTAGCGACCCGCCAATGCGCCCCACTGCGAAATGAAGCCGAGCCTGCAAGTAGATAATAAGGGAGAAAATATTGGTTAATATCGCCATTAATTATGCATTGTAACAATTGCCCAAAATGAGGGCTTCGAACTGAAGGAAGCTGCCGGCTGTGTGCGGGCCATTTAGAACTTAAGACGCCATTAGGCATTTACCGATGCGCCGTCGGCCAAAAGTTGTTTCGAGCTAAGAAAGTTGAAGCATCAAAGTTCGCCAACGGGATGAGGTGGAAAAGCAAGGAGGCAGGCTGTGATGGCGACCCTTAACAACCCCATGACCGACAACAGCTGTTGAGAATTTGGGCTCCTCAACCCTCCCCTATGTGTAACCTTGTTAACTTGCTGGCTTAAAAGCATCTTTATAAATACATTTTATTTATTTATTTATGCTGGTAAGACGAAACACTTTTCGTTATAATGTGCTCTAGATTCGCAGAGGGGATGGTTGGCTGCTTTTTGCTTTCCAGCTAAATCAAAGTTAACATGTCAAACCAGCCGAAGGTAATTGGGCAAAGTTGCCGTTGTCTCTGTGGATTGTGATTGATTCATTGGTTTATTTCGTTTATTTGGCTTACTTGCTGCTTTTTAAGCTTCCCACGCACCCACTGAACTTTGGTGTTCAGCATAAGCCCTGCGAAATGCACATTCTCACCGTTCTAAAATGTACTATATACGAATCTACCCTCGATTCGGCTTTCGCATTCTGCTGTTAACGGGCTGTTGGACTAAGCCCCCTTTTTCCGAGCAAACTTTGACCGTTTGGGCAAGTGACCCGAGCACAGACTGTGATTTCTTTTCGAGGGTACACAAGTGCAACAAAACCTACAACACGCCTGCACAATGGCAGACAATGGTGTGTGTCTGACATTAACATTTAGTTGACCTCTTTCGCAGCGGCTGCGGCCAAGGGTGCATCAGGTGTGGAAATCAATAGCCAGATGGGAGGGAGGCGCTCTGTCACTCTGCCCCCCGGAAAGTAATGATTTTCAATTAAGTTTACTTTCAACCCGGACTGCCCCAGCGAATTATGAGCCGGAGAGCGGAGGTCCCTTCAGGGGCTTCCCCAAGTTGCCAGCTCAAATCACTTCTAATGGGCTTCATGTTTACAGCGCCAATTGAGAGAAAGCCGCTTTGGCTTTGCCTGAAGGCGGTCAGAAGCCAGAGTACAGCACCCAAACAGCCGCAAAAAAATAAAAATAGCTCCTATCATGTTTCGCTGGCGGAGAGAATAAATCCTCCCAAGGATAACAGGGATTTATCATTATAAAAATAAGAACATACTTTACATTTCCTCTTTTTTGACAGTACCGTCAGAAAAAAAAACACAAGAAATTACCTCAATTAATGAGCTAATTTCTCGAGGCTCGTCAACATGAAAAATCAAAACAAAAGCTTGTAGCTATTTGCTCCACTAATTACGCGAATCAACAACTTGACTTGGGTAATGTAATAAATACAGAATAAATTTGCCAGCGGCTATCGCGGTCGGCTGGGCGGTATTCCATTTCCTTCCATTGGTGTCATTCTGCGGCGGAAGTGGACGGCCATGTTTTTAGAAGTGGGAGCGCCCCATTTGAACCCTCGTAGAACTGTCAGAAGTTAGGGCCAAATGGGGGATGCAGATGCCGTTATTTAGCTTTTAATGAATTGTTTGCGGTTCTTGCTTTGGGCTCCTTTTTCTAGCCCTCCCCCCGTCATAATTTCTCGTCTTGGGATCGGATCCCTTTTTGTTCGAAGGATAAAAGTGTGCTATGCAATTGAGTTGTTAAACATGGCGTTCAACATTGGTTTCGGCCTGCTCTCACCATTTTCAGAGCTTCTTGGCTTTGTCAGGACTTTCCTTTGATGTATCTCGTTTCATTGTACTGAGATTCAAGACGAGTTCAAAGAAATGTTTCTGAATTAGTGGGGTTAAGTTAAGCAAATTGTAGCAATGGCTGGAATTAACCAATTCAAATGGCATTACCCGCACATTTGCTCACTCGACAATTGGCGCATTAGCGAGATTGATTTAAATAAATAAATTTAAATGGGAGCCCCTAAAAACCGCTTAGGAATCGTTCATGCATAAAAGATTTACACACGCTAATTGACGGATTTCGTGCGGGACCTTCCCTCCAGCTCTTTCCACTCACTGGCACAATACATTGTTGACATTTGGATGAGGTATTAGCTGCGACCGCAGACTAGGCAAAATATTGAACACTTCAATGGGCAGCGAACTCTGCTTTTGTCATTAGGCGGGATTATGGCCAATATTCCTGCGCCTGGGGAGCGGCTTAGGACCTTCATACATATGTATCCCACAGTCTCGCCCGTCTAACAAAGAGTAATCATAAATGGTGACATTTGTGAAGAGGAAAATATTAGTTTTTAATAATATTTTTTTTTCGACGAATAAGATTTTTTCCGCCAACGCCATGGGAAGCCCCGCCAAACGGCACGCGACCGCAGAACAGAGGAAAGTCAAACCTCGGATCTAGATCGGATGCGAAATATGTTTTGATTAGCAAACAGCCATAGAAAGTCCCGCCGCACCTCGATCTCGATAACGAATCAAAAGCATTTCACCACTAAACGCTAATCCCCTTTGGGCCGGAATCACAATGAGATACAGATACAAATAGACAGATAAAAGGGATTGGTTAGGATTGGTCCTTGTGCAATT